GCAGGAGGTCCCAGGCCTTCTCCACCTGCCAGAGAACACAGCGGGGCAGCACCTCAGCGCCCATGGCCAAGCCAGGGACAAGGCCAGCGGCACCACGGCACGGGCAGGGGTGTCACACGAGGGTCTCAAGCTTCCTGTCCCTTCCCTGCTGCATTTACATCCCCAAGTTCATCCCTCGTGGCCGTGCCCACAGGCAGCCTCGCTGGCAATCAGCACGCCCAGGCCCACCACGCGTGACCCAGGCACAGCACTGAGCCCTCTGGTCCCCATCACGGTCGCCCGCCTCCCCTCTGCCACCTGAGACACCCCCGGTGCTGCAGGCAGCCCAGGGCTCACCTGCTTGCGGGTGACGTCCGGCTCCCAGAGCGTGCACAGCACCACCTGCGACTGCTCCACCCTTTGGCCGTTGCTCATCTGGCTCTGCAGCCGCCTGCGAGCAGCCTCCTCGCTCCGCCCATCCCCGGCCATGATGAGCTTGCAGGACCAGAGGGGACACTCAGGCGCTCGAAGGGGAAGCTGAGATCCAGCCCCAGCAGCAAGCGAGGGGCCAAGGGGCATCGCCCACCTCCTCCTGCGGGATGATGGCCGTCCACACCTCGTGGACCATGTCCTGCCAGCCAGCCTCCAGCAGCACGGCAGCGTCCAGCACGCACACGGCCTTTCCTACGGAACGAGGCCATTCCTCATTACCTGGCAATCACAAGGCAGTGCGACAGCTCCTCGGCGTCCGACCCAGCCCGTCCACTTACGCTCGTGGGGTCACGCCTTCCTGCAACCTGGCAGCACAGACGCTTTACTGCTGAGCAAGAACCTCACGTGGAAAAGAGAGCAGTGGGCAGAGGCTGTATTTGCTTAAAGGGCACGCCTGGGATGGCAGGTCTCCCGGGCATGACAAGCCAATGCCTTCAGCCAAATGCTATCGAGCTAAACAGCATCTCCCAAGAACTGGAAAAACTCTGTTCCCAGCAGGAAAACACACCAGGCTCACTGCTGGAGCACCACACCAAAACCGAACTTGAAGTCACGTAGGAAAGGGAAAGCAACTTCCACCCTCCTTCAGAGCGGGAGCTGGAGGTAAGCCTGGCCCAGCTGCCGGCCCAGCTGATGGAGGGGTTTGCTCAGAGCTGTGCTAGTGAAAATCCCCAGCAAGCTGCCCAGCACAAAGGAGGGAGGCCTGAGCATGGAAAATATTCATGGTGCTGCCAAAAGCAGCGGATTCCCAGGGGCTCTGGGTCATGGTGTGCTGCACAAGACCATGCACCCAACTCCCACCTTCATGCTGCGATGGGAGCCGCCCCAGTTACCAGTTACCTTGAGCATCTGCCTCCCCAATCTGCTCCTTGACCATCCGGGCCATCTCAGGCCACACAATGTCCGTGAGACTCTTCAGCCGCTCCTAGGAAGGGCCACGACGGGATTCGGTTACTTGTCCTCAGAACCCCTGGGCAGCCAAGGAGGGGATCGCTGGTGGCAGCAGCCGTCACACAGGGCATCCAGAAAGAACCCGCTAAAGCACAGGGGGGATCCGGCCCATCGCCTGCTCGCTAAGCACCAGGCAGGAGAGCTCCCACACTGGCCAGAGACTCCCACGCCCGCTGGTGGGGTTGGGGCTCATTTTCCTACTGTTTTCCTTGCCCTGGCAGGCACAGCAGAACCTCAGTCTCCCTTTGCAAAGACCCGCCCCGCAGCACAGCGACCTCCCCACCAGCAGCACCCACGCGAGACCCGTCTGTCTCGGGGGAACCCCTCGAGCTGCCGTCAAGCGTGGGCCGGGGCAGCCCGCAGGCCCCGAGCGAAAGGCCGAGCGCTGGGGCGGCCACCAAAGCCAGGCGCAGGGGGTCAGGCTCGGCTGCCGCGTCACTGAGCCCCGCTGGGTACCAGCCCAAACCCCGCAGGGGCCGGAGAGCGCCGGCTCCGCGTACGTCAGGGCTGCTGTTCTGCGCTGGGTGAAGGACAAGTGTGGGACAGACAGACGGGGATGGGGATGGGATCTCTGAGTCCTGCCCTGTCCGTACATCACCGTCAGACAAGACAGTCAGGAAGACATCATCAGCTCAAACGGCTGAAAAATAAAAAGCCCCGGCACAGATGGAGAGTTCCCCACTCAGGAGATTAAATATTGACCGTCTGTGCTGCTCTCACCTGGTTTCCAAACACCTTGGCCCCAAGGACTTTCCTGTTAATTGTCCCATCTTCATTCAAGATTTCTGTAAGACAGAGGCAGAACAGGCTTGGGAGGAACGGACCCGACTCCCTTCCTGCCGCAAGCCCAGGTCAGAGCGAAAGGATTTCGGCACGAGGCTCTTGAAGGGACCCAGAAAGGACCTGTCGGACCTGACCTGGCAGCTCTTCACCCTGCTCCAGAGAGGGACAGGGAAGAGCTTTCCCCAGGCAAGCGGCAGCCCGGTTTAGCCTTCCACGCCAGCCAGGGTACAGTAGCTCTGACAGGGACACACAGGACTTGGGGAAAGCAGCGCTGCGCCCCGCTCAGGCCCAACCATCACCGAGTCAGCGACAGAGCCCCATCCGGGTGGTGTGGAGCCCAGAACCCACGGGGACGGAGGGGAGCGCAGGCCAGGATGGCTCCCTGGGATGCCAGGATGATGGCACACCCCTCCCTCCTCTTCCTCCTCCCAGTCTTCCCCGCAGCCTTTGGTGCACCCACCTGCCCCAAAGGCCGCCACCACCCGCTCGTAGGCAGGGCCACCAGGGACATAGACGGCGTGGCCCAGCTTGTCAGCGTCGATGAGGAACGCTCCCAGGTGCCCCAGGAGCTTGGCAATGGAAGTTTTCCCACTCCCGGTTCCTCCAGTCAGGCCGATCACGTAGGGGCGGGAAGGCAAGGCAGGGTCTTGCTGGGGGAAGAAGGAAAGCCCTTGCCAGCGGACAGAGGACATGGGCTCTGCTGGAGAAGGAGCCTGACCACCCAGCCTGCAGGCGGGCATGAAAGATCCTGGCCCTGCAGAACGGGGACCTGCTCCCACCAGCAACCAGTACGGGCAGAGGCAGCCTGTCCTCCAAAACCTGTCCCC